TCTATGGTGAGCACTGGACAGCCGTCTCATCGTGACCTGGGACACCTGAGAAGTGTGTACCCAGGACCTTCAGATTACGAGACTAAGCTGGTCTACCATCCAGACACTGCGGTTAGGACTCAATGATGCTGAAGTTTCTGGCCGTTTGATCCCTGATGAATTCATCGCCGCCTACTGCTCAAGAGTACCCAAATAGGAAAAATCAGCTGTCCACTGCCCTCTGTCAATTGTTAATGATCTCTCTAACTGACATTACTTCCTGAAAAAAAATCTAACAGTTGTTATGTGTCATTTCTGAAGGAAGTTTGTTGTGTTGAAAGACTGGACTGTATTAACGATTTCCCTGATAATAGATAGTGTTAAAGTAGAAATAAATTTGAACAAATGAGGAGCCTAGAAAACAGTATCAAAACAGTTATCATCTCGAAAGTATTCGAAGCAATTCGCCTGTTCGACAATTAATGAAATCCACGTATTTATGACACTGAGCAGATTACATAGTACTGAATGAAGCATTCAGCACACCAACTGAATTTAAACTAGCAATCAATAGGATGGACAAAAACTACAGCTGACCTGAAGTTAAGTCGTACACCGCACAGACACCAAGTAGAGATTTCAAACAGCCTATTAGGCGTAAGTAAGCAAAATAATCATAATAAGATTGAGAAAGTGGACAAAACGTCTGTCCACTATTCAGTGATTGCCAGTAGTCATTCAAATTGGAGAAAAGATGAGACCACCTGGTAGCCAAATTATTCGAAAAGTGGACAAACACTTTCATCGACACTAAATCATCTTTTCGATGTGTGAATAGCTAAATAGTGGGACTTCGCATTCAGGCTACTAATATATATCTACACACACACACACACACACACACCTGGAAATGTAGTTTCTGTATGCATATTTTTAGTGTGAATGAATACAGGGAACTGTTAGTTGCTCACCGAAAATGGGGAAAAGGATGATTTACAAAAGAAACTCATGTGTGTCTACGTGTATTTTGTGTCAACGCACAAACAACATGGGCTATATTTTTATTTCTAAAACAAAATTGGTAACTGCAAATAAAACAATTTACAGGGATTTCCTCGTGTTGAATTTATCCAACAAATAAGGTCGAATAGAAGGGAATGAGTTTAACAAATACTTTTGATGAATACACAGCATAATATGCGCTATAGACGACTTTCTACTGTGTTTGTGGTTCAAAGGTAGAATGCTCACTGCAGCCACGCGGACGCTCAGGAGTTCGACTCCCTACTGGGGGAAGTGAGAATTCCCGCTTAGTATACTGGCCCATAGCAAAGCAAGGAGAAGAGGGAGGTTCGGGAGTGAGGCCAGACACTGCAACACCACCGCCAGTGAATCTTCAAAAGATACACGAAGACGCATGTCCCTCTTTATATGAGAAGGTCTGTTTATGTCTGTTTCCGAGTTCAGAACACACGAATTCGGTAAAACCGATTTATCTTTCCCTGGAATCATTTGTGGAGTGATAGATACTATTTGAGAAATGTAGCAATAACAATCTCTTATCTACTTAGGATATATATATGCTTGTAGTCACTCCCACTGAGGTCGCCAACAGCGTTGATCGTGAAATGAATAGTAAACTACTTCAACACTACGGAGTACACTACACTACCAAAATCGTTGTCAACCTCATTCAACAGCACTATGACGATTCGATATATCACACTGTAGCCCTAGAAGACCAGACACCTGGTAAAGGAATTCGGTATCACTACGTAGCGAAATCATGTACATCTTATCTTCAAATCACCATTTGCACAGATCTTCTGTGTTGCACTACTTCTGGCCTTCCTTCACAGTGTGTTTCTTTGTGTTCCTTTCACGTCTCTCATGTTTCTCGCAACACTGAATCATTTCCTCTCTCTGCGATGTCAAATTCACCACCCTGCCATTAGATGATTTTATGCCGATTAACGTCCTTTCATAGACTTCTGATAAACCTTAGCAGCAGCAAACGGCACTAGGTGATCCACAACGAAAATTCCACGGAAGCCTTTGAAGGGAAGCCAGGAGTGGTGGACTGGTTTATGCAGAACACAGCGCGTGGAGAGCAAAACGACAGGAATATGCTCGACAATTAAGAAGATTATAGAGGATCTCGATTTTTCCAACGACTTACTTCTAATGTAGTCAATTGAATTCGAAGACTCACAGGCGAAAACCAACTAACTGGCAGAAGAAGCAACAAAGACAGAAGTTCAAGTTAAGAAGAAGGAGTCGCAGGTGATGAAGATAGCAAACCAACCAACAACAAGTACCAACCACTCCCAACTGAAGTAATCTGAAAGACGTCACTTCCGTCATCTGTCTAGGAGACATCGTTCCAACTACAGCCACATTGCACGCATCAGGATGTCAAGACCGGCGAGGATCAGGAAAACCATATACACCTTCATCAATCTGAAATCAGAGTGCAGATCTGCTCCACTGAGCATAGGAAACAAGAGTCGGATTTTTAACATCACTGCTAATTCAGTCAGTTGGTGTTTCTATATGCGTCCCAAACTTGGTGCAACTGTGACGAAGAGCATTTCCAACAGGTCACTGCACACTTTCATCAACAGTTGTCTTTGCTGGCTGGCTCCATACTGGAGATCAGATGGCCGGTCAGCACGAATAAGCAAGCAACACGAAACTCCGGAAACCAACCAATCAAGAACCTACTGCTCCACAAGCATTCCGAAGAAAATCGAGATGGATTGGACACACACACTGAGCAGGCTGTCTGCAGTCTGACATCACGCGCAATGCAGACCATCGCTCGAGTGGGAAACCACGAGTTCGCGTGAAGAGAAAATGGAAGCTTTCTGATAATTGTATGGCCGTCTAGAGAGGACTGCAGTGAACAGGATGAAATGGAGATGTACTGTTGGAGCCCTATGTGCCTCTTGAATCCCTCAAGAATAATAATATTTATTTTATTTTGATTTACAGCTTGATTCCACACCGTATTTTCAGTACAAGTGTGAAATTTTCACCATGGATATCGGTAGCCCAAATTCAGGCCGACCATAGATATCGGGTGTGCGCCGGCAGGGGATCCAACCCCGGACCATGTGCATGGTTGGCGAGAGTCCTAACATAATAATATATGATTAACGGAAATACGTGTTACATCACACGTTCGCTAACTGACGATTCTCGCCTTCTTGTATCAGTTTAAAATAACCAAATATTGTTTAGAGGCATCATTGAAAATGGATGACATCAATAAACACGAATTCGAAGTCATGCAAGAAGAAGGGGCAAAAATCAATGAAATAATCTCAGTGTGAAAATCACTAGTTGAGAGAGGTAAGATATAACCATAAGCTCCAATGATTGTACGCAACTGACAACTATCGACGATACCAGTGTCTACCTGCTTTATGGATTTCATCTCGAATTGTGTAGATTGCAAGTTGATTTCCAAATTGTCAATTTCACATTTTTATTTATTTTATTTTATATTTTTATTACAGCTTGATTCCACACCGCATTTGAGTAGAACTATGGAATATTCAGTATGCAATATCGCTAACCCACATTTAGCAGGCCGACCATTGTTATCAGTTGTGAGTCGGACGAAGTATTACAAGTTCGTCCAAATAGCTAGCCGGAAATCGGATAGTTTGACCTGATTCGGATACACCGCTGATCAACTCATCCTAAAACGAAAGAAACAGCTGTTCGGTGTTTAGATCAATCTAATCTCGCTGGACAACACTACCGATTGGCGTGGGTGGCATGCAACTGCTCATGTCAGTCAACCAGTAGTATACAAATAAATATATACAACCATACTCATCAACTTAAAGTCGATATCTTATTTTTCTGCCCGTTAAACGAATTCTATGAAAACTCAACCTACATCTCAGGAACACGGAACAAGTGTTTCGATTTGAACTTCAATGATGGCATTAAAATCTAGGTGGACGCAATCTTTCTTGTTATGCACTGCAAGAACATATGTACCCGTAGAATAAATGCAGATGTCCAATTGTAGACTCGTCTCATGGCGTTCTTGTGCTATCAAATTGCACTTCTGTAGGCTGTCGTTCAAAGATGACTTACGACGTGGGTGTTTCAAAACAAACTGTAGTTCCAACATGTGCAGTGACTTTGAGTTTACGCTTATAAGTTGAATTTATATCTTAACCACAAGAAGTTGCACATTCTAAGTATCTTAAAATGAAAAGAAAGTCTTCTAACCAATTTTATTTCTACGTAACTATTTAAATCAGAATATAGTTTCCTTAAGCTTTTACTAGTATCTAAATCTATATCGTGTCCACTGGTGGACTTGACATTCAGCTGTTTAGTGTTGAGCATACAGTATGATTGTGAAACGATGAGTCGATTCCAAATTAGATCATATACAAAGGAGTGTAAACAACTAAGTTTCCTCACTTACAGAGTGCTTAAAACGTACTATCCAATGTATGAATATTCCATTCTTACTTAAACGTTTATCTTATGATCTATTAGTCGTCTATCATATTACTGTAGCTATAATTGACTTCTCTCTGCCATATACCATCGCACTATGAATGAATATCGTGTGGTCTAGAAAATATATTCAGTCGTCAGATTTAATAAATCATAATGACACCATCTTCATACTAGACTATTTTCCAAAAAATTATAAGCATATAGAGGTAGTCACAGTGCTCCACGTTTGATATCAGAAGCTAGCTATTCACTGATTTGGATCTAGTAGGACAAGCGAGTAAATGACGCACAAGAATGAGACGATGGGCTGAAAGCAATCACAAAGATGTTGTGGCCTACATATAACAAAATAGTGAGGCACAGCCAAGAGTGAAACACTCAGACAACAAACTACAGCCTATCATGCAACAGGCCAACTATTGGGCTGACAATCTATTGGATACATTTCGACCTTCACATTTCCACCAATAGAAACACTCTTTCATAATGTGACACAACCAGTCTGAAATCTGATTCGATGAAACTCAAGGCGTGGGTGAGACGAAAACATGCTTTTGTCTCTCTCTCAAGGTTATGCATAAAAGCTTGGCATTTAAAGCTTGACCACATTTGTCAGCGTTGTTGTTTTCTCGGACTTTGCCGCCTCAGATAACTAACTGTTTGTACGATGGCAGACACTTGGGAAGGACACTGTAAAGCGCACCTGGGTCAGCACAAGTGCCTAAATAACTTGTGCATAACAGGAAAGGAAGGAAATATTTATGGTACATCCAGCCCCGATTTCCAAGTAAGTTCGAGCTCTGTATTTTCATGATGATATGAAGTTCTTTAAATCCCCATAAACTCATATTTTATCGTATTAGCTGAATGCGTATAAGTGCCATTCAAATATAGTGATTCAGGCTCCGAGTCTGTGTCATTTACTACAAAGTGTATGCGTATCTGTTGCCTTCTCGAAAGAGTCAACTGAGCAGAGCGCGGATTCCGCTGCATCCGGTAGATTATGATGTGGTGGGGAGACTATTTCTAATCAAAAATAAGGCAGCTGCATGGATTTTGATGTTTCCTGCTATCTTCTGTGAGGTGTTTAAAATAAATGGGATGGGGGAAGGCAGAAGAAATGTAAATATTCAACTTGGGCATTCCTCGGAATTCTGGGCATCTGTGCGCACTCTATGACAAGGAGGATTACCAGCTATTGAGTGATCCAACGGATAATGATTTGGTCATGCCGAGTATCATACGTGTGTGGCTTACGTTTGAGAAGTGCATAGAAATTATTAGTTTTCTGTGAGGAAGTTTATGCCTGAATGATGCAGTTTTTTCTAGTTTTAACGTCACTGGAGATGTATCGGAAGTGGTTGACTTCACTAGTGCATCTTTCCCAATGGTCCTTGAGTATACTGATTCGTGAACCTGCCCACATCAGTACGTTGATCTTATTGCTTCGAAATGTGTGGTAATGTGATTGACGGGAAAAGTAGAAACGGATATTTCGTGCTATGATGGTGGTGTTTCTCAAATTGCCCATCAAAATATGCTTTGGTAACTGGTTTGACGTGGAGATAATATTTCTGCTATAGCCTGCAAAACCGTATTGATGAGTTTAGGTTATGTAAATGTGAAATGACTTTGGCGTGTATGCATTGGCCGAAGTTGATGTGACTGTCTACACTCGATAGTACGTGTTAAGGTGTAAGTTTGTGGATTTCTGTTCATTTAATTTCATGGAATAACTATAGGCTAGTGATGTCAGATATGGTTAATATGTTCAGTATTTCGGGCAGTGGTTCTGAATCAAGTATACGAAGACGCCTAGGTTGTGTTCCGAATCTGGAGATGCAGTCATTTTAGACTGGATTGCACAAATAATAGAATATACACTTTGTAGTTGGTGTCGTGGTTGGTCTGGGACCGAATGTGACAGGGATTGCATGTAAATGCACTTGTGTGAATGTGCGACTAGGGCTGTGAACTAGCATCTGTCGATCAGGCTAGTTTCCTCTGCTTGGTCTCTACTTTATAAACATGTTAAGTATCACTGAGACAGTCTTTGGAGCGTTCGTACTTTTTATGACTAGGTATAATGGTCAATGGAAATGGTTAGGGAAAGAAAATCTCGTGTAGACGCACGACGTGAAACATTCGTTGTCATAGGTGAGGATATCTAGGATGCCTGCCTAGATCCTGAAATCAGTTGGGGAGGAAACCTTCATTAGTGTGAAGTTGGAGTTGCAATCAGCTACACTCAAGCATATCAGAATGTTTTAGTGCAATGGAGTTAGTGGTTCCATATGTTTGAGTGACCGGGCGCTTCAGGAATGCATTTCCGATAGGAAGCTAACTCCACCAAACAGGGTAGCAGATGGTCAGCCACCTAACAGCCTGCTTCCGAGGAAATGTGCCTGAGGAATTGGATATTGGAGAGGCAGTGTTAAGCCCACGAGCGGAGTGGAAGGTGACGATACTGGTGAGAGTATGTGATCGAAGAATTATCATGTGGGAAAACGGAAGTGACGCGGCTAACTAAGGAAGACACTGGTGGATGCGTTACAATGATGCGCTGATGGATCTCTATTCCCCACAATAACTGCAGGTAGTGATTTGTTATAATGATACTAGTGGTCGGACATCAGGTTCTAGGTTTCTATGACTCACCTGTAGGGGAAGTAATGACTAGTGCATGACGAGAAGTTTTCTAATCTTAACAACTCATCTGAATGAATCACCTGTTAGTTTTGAAGGGTGTAAAGTGTGACAAGGTAGAAGTCATAAATGCTTTTTGATATGGAATATGTTGAAAAAATGGTTTAACAAACATGAAACTTCTGTGGAATAGAGTACTTGTTGTTTTCAATCAGTTGGGTGTAATCGAGCTTCCTGGTATCGTGTGAAACATTGCGGCTGGTGTTACAGGTTATGGTGTGTGGAAGATCAGGTCAGTCAGATATTTCATGTCGGATGGATGTTGCGTCGTCATGTGGCTCATATAACTGGCAGCTATATGCATTATTATTATTTCTAATTATGAGAGTTTGGGCGGTGGAGTGTTTTAACTTTGGGTAATTCAAATATAGGGTCTGTGTAAGTGTGTTTACGGCTTGGTTGGATTATGGAGTATGCATACTGTCTTGTCATCTCATTGCTCATCAGGCTGCACCATTCTTGATACAGCGACTTAGCTGGAGTTAGTGCTGCAGAAACTGGTGCATTTGTATGTCAGATGGATTTGAATGTCTTGTAGGAAAGCCAGATCTCGATAGGAGTAATGTTTCGTGTCCAGTTGTATTCTTATTGGCAATGTTTTCCTCAGTAGTATTGTTATGTGCATGGGAGTGAATTTTTTGATTTTGTCGATTTAAATTAATTGAATGTCAGCCTACACTTTAAATTGTATTTTAAATCTTTGTGTTTAGGTGTCCGACAATATCACTCATTTACTTTATGTCTTTGTCAGGTACCCCCGGAACTTATTCTGAAACTGAGATCGGTTTTAGCCAATGGTTCCGATACTTCCTTCGACTTCCTGAATGATAAATATATCATAATTCGACACGATGACTCCTGCCTGATCAGCAAGAGTGGCAAGAAGTCTATTCTATTTTACTGCACAGACACCAGTAAGTCGCTTTTGTTTTATTTTATTGTAATGTGTTCTAAGTGGTAGTTGAAGCTTGACTAGTGATTTCGAATGGTGTCATCATTATCTGGGTCAGCTTGTGCATGCAGCGATGCATAGCATGCATAGCTTGTGATCATATTCTAGTTGTCCGAGATCAGCAATTTGACAAGAGTTCGTATGAAGGCGATATATCTGTACCAGTGTATATCCACCCGCCAACCACTAGCCGACAGTTGTATTATCGGAGATGACTTAGCATTGCCTACGTTAAGACTGTAGGTTTTCTGATGCTCAATCTGGAACAACATTTTAAGTGAGATTAGGTGTTAGCATGGGATTCCATTGTAGCGTGTACAGTTGTTAGTGAGTTGTGGAAGTTGCACTACAGTACATATCCGGTGACACTATGAAGACAAGAGCTGCTTAGAATGCCAGTAGACTGAGCGAAAGTGTGGTTCTGTGTTTAGTGTTCGCTATTCTCGTACACGCTTGTAAATTGTTAATGCCTGGATGATTAATAGGAGTAAGCGGGGTGACGTTCCGTTGGTATCAGTGGTGACAGTGTTCCTGTAGTTCAGTTGTGAGTTAGGATTCAGTTAACGGAAATGGTGCTCGACTAGTAGTGACACCGAATGTGTGATGGCAAACCCAGGTTGTAAAATGTGGTTCGAATTCAATAACAAGGTGTGTAACACTGTTCCATTGCTTCCCTGGCTATTTTCGAATGGTGGGTGCTGTCCTTTACTGCAATGAAGCATGGGACATTACTACTTTCTCTAAAGAAAGTGGGCGATAGCTACGCGAGATGATCCCTCATTCACAAAGGGACTGTACACAAAATGTCAGTAACCAACCAACCAACTCATGTGTGTTTAAAACATCTCAAATAAGACATTCTTATTCTAAATGACTGAATTATCTTACGAGGCGCTTTGTTTAACTCACTAGTCAGAACAAATACCGATTACTGTTGCATTTGTATTTTGAACGTGTTTGATTTCAGTGTGCTTGGTCGGACAGACGGTTGACGACGAGACGAATAAATGTAATGCGGGTAATATCGCGATGGCTAATATAAGCGATTTTTATAAAAAGAAGGGTTTGTAATCAAGTATTCTCGTATAATAATGTACTGCATCTTTTTATGTAATGTATTTGATTGTTCTAATAACTATTAAATAATTCGCATGTAATGACGTTAGCCTTCTTCTTCTTATTATTCTTCTTGTTCTCCTCTCTTCCATGTGAAACTTTCCACATTTTGTTGTTGATAGGCAGTTTCTTGTTCTTCTTTTGCTTCTCGTGTAGTGCTACGAGATCACGAGGTCCAATAGCACACACACACACACACACACCTCTGTTCATGTATTTGTTTAGATTGTTATTTTTCATGTTGAGATGACATTGTTTACTAGAGAAATAAATCTTATCACCGAGCACCAGCACCGCCAGCGGGACCACCTGCCTAAGAAGAAACTTCTTATTATCGTGGTCCTGCAGAGATATATATTTCGGTACGCCTGTAAGAAAGACTTTTGTTTGTTGATTTCCATGTTCTGTCTGAGGAAGATATTCATATTTATTTGAACAGTTTTGTGAAAGTTTCTACGCATTATAAATCTATTAGCTTGCTTGTACACATTGTTTGTTAAAAAAGGCATTATTATGGATTTTTAAAATGTACCAACGCTTTGCCTGAATAGAGGCACTGTATTTTGTTATAATTGGTATATTGATAAATGAATGCTTTATGATGAATGTTTGTTTTTACTTTGACTGGAGTTGGAGACTTTTACTAGTTACCCTGTGGGTTATGTGTAGCTGTTTGTTCCTTAAATCATCATATGCTGTATTGCACTGTCACTGAATTTGGTCCCTATCAAACGTTATTGGAAATGAACTAAGTTGTTGGGGTGGGTGGTTGGGTTGTATGAGGGTTTTGTGTACTAGTAAAATAAGTTGTGTATGCGGAGTGTCAGTTCCTGGTTATTTGCACCTTAGGGTTCAGGGTTGAATTGACGATGATTCATGTCTCATACATGTGCCATGGCATGTTATGTACAACGATTTTTGAAGTTTGTGAATGCTGTGCATATTGCCATGTGATCACTTTCCTTCACTGTAGACTGTGATACTGCAAACGTGCGTACTTTCAGTTCGTGAATTATCTCCGGATTATCTGATTCTTGTTTACATTGCGTATATTAGAGAAGTCATAACTCCGGTACATGCGTTTATTTATTATTTGTTCGATTGGAAGCCGATTGATTTCTGTGCCCCACTTATGTTTGACGAAGATGAGTTAGGTGTCGTGATCATATGTGGGAAATATGCCATTGAATTTACATTCAAGCCAACTACTTTCGGCATTTGTCTTCGCTACCGAACTATGCTATTCTGTGTCCGTTTACACAGTTGGTTCAATGTATTTTGTCGAAATAATAAAGATGGTCTTGTGCTGTTATCTCAACTGTAGTATGTCACATTGTGGGTTGCTGAACTCTCTGTGGAAATGGAGAGTTAACTCCTGCTTCTATTGACTTGTCGTGTGAACTGCTCTGTTCATCTCAGCGTCAACTAATGTGTCGAGTGAGAGCTTCCATCTTTATTCAATGTGGGATATACGTCGAGCTCATGGATTAGTTTTTCAGTGAGTGAAAGTAACGGTAATTGTTTGTGAGCTAGCTAGCTAGCCAGCTTTAGTGGCCGTAGGTTCTCATTAATTGTGGTTGATAGCACGGAAGTGACAGTCCAAATTGAGGGTAAATTGTGTTAGAGTACAAGCGTTTATTAAGGTTGAATAGCTTCGTTGAGTAGTTAATTCATGAAAATCTTAGTGTTGTCGTGATTGTAGGTTCATTGTGCCTTAGTTAATACAGTTTACTATTGCATTATTATTATTATTATTATTCCCTGTGGTTCAGAGTTGTTGGACATAGGACTGCAGTCAGGAGTGGCATCTCCAATTCATTCTGTTCTCTACTATGCTGTTAAGCTGGCGCGACGATCGCCTATCAGCTTTCATCTCCCGCTCACACAATCTCCTCCATATCATCCTTGGGCCGAAGTCAAACTCCTCGTTTCTTACACGAGCGTTGGTGTGATGCACAATTCTCACTCTATAGTCTCCTCAGCGTGTGTCTGATCCATCTCCTCCTTCTTCTGGATATCTGTTGGGCGATAGGTTGTTGGTTGACTCGTTCTCAGACCATTTGATCTTCACAATTATAATCGTGCGAAGTTAGTTAGCTAGTGAGAAGAATTTACAGCAGCCTGTTGGGAAATGCAATTTGTGACAAACGCGTCAGGTTTCTGAGCCATATAGAATAGTTGACTGACTTAACGGTAGTGTTGGAATTCCGAATATTGTTCTTTTCTCGTGATCGCAGGTTCCGTGTCTGATTTTGAGATAGATGAAGGTGTGGCGTGCCGTGTCTATGTGATCCTCGCCGGTTTCGACATCCTCATCGTTGACTCCGCCTATGATTGGAAGGACGCTGCATACTAATTTCATTTGAGCAGTACTGTAGGTAGGTTGAGAAACTCAGCATATTATGAGTTCGATTGCATGCTGAGTAGCATCCAAGGTGAATGAAGTAATAATGTTATGTTACCGACCTGGTAATATATATGAGAGAGGTCATATATGTGAGTGTATTTCGAATTCGTTAAACTGGGAGTAGATTTGTAGGAATTCTTATTATCTATTGTAGTACTCTAGTCACTTGGATCAATTTGTTTACCACACAACGAGGTGGTCTTATTAACTTCATGTATCATATGTGTAGATATACATATTGATCCAGCTGAGAGAGTTTGCAGGTCAGGTGATTGCTTTAAGAAGAAAAGGGGATACATCGAATGTGCTGGGAATAATGGCGATGGAGTTGACATGCGTTGAGAAGGACGTTTATTGTCATGACAGTTAAGGCAATACCTGTAGAGGAAGTCGAATGAGAAGGGACCATTTGGGTGTTCGAAGTTGATATGGAGGAGATAGTGTGAAGAAGAGATGAGAGCTTATGGTCAACCATAGAGCTAACTGAAGCGACCAGAATGAAATGGAGATATGGCCTGGTTGAAGTCTTATGTTCCACTGGGAACCCAAGGGGAATAATAATGATAACTCTGACAACATCTGTTTAGAACAGAAACAAACCCTCTTGCTTCTGCTGCCTCCATTTCCAACCTCGAAATCTGTGTGTGTGTGTGTGTGTGGATGGGGGGTAGGTGACGCGACATTGACTTCAGAATGAATACAACCATAAGTAATGTTTGCCTGTTTGGTGAGCAAGGAGTACTGGGGATTATGAGAAACTAGCGGCTGAACTTATACTCTGGAACGAAGTGTCAGTGTTCTACATATTGAACTGTACACTGTTCTGCAGTGTTTACCCACCAAAATATGCGACATCGAATAGAATGACATTGTAGGGGGACCTTACCACTGTCCAGTGATCCGTTGTTTCTAGTGTTGCTCAACGTGGTATCGGTTTCTGTGATCGACAGCGATTGCATCCACAAAGCCAAATGTAAGTATATGTCAGAGTGGAAAACAAACTTTTATTTATAATTGTTTCAGAAGGGAAAATTGATTTTAATTGTCGTTGATTGAACTCCTCTGATATGAGTATGCACCACGATGTCTTCGTTTAGTGATGCAGTATTGATCTTATTCTCTCTCATTATGTTGTGTTGCAATTGCGTGTAATGATCTACCCCACATCTACGTAAAAATGAGAGACGCAACAAAGAAAGCATTTAGTAATATCATGCATGTATGGAATTAATCATGTTTGCTTAATTTGAACAATTTTTAACTTGAAATGCACATAAAGTTTGTTTATATATTTCGGTGTACTAATAGTTCACATGACTCTAAAATTATCTATCTGCCTGTGAGGAGTGTAGGACGATACTATTTTTCGGTATATTGAAGTTGAAGTAACAAAAACTATGCAAGTATATGCCTACGTCACATGACTGAAGATATTTTAAATCGATGGATCGATCACTCACTCATTATTATTATTATTATTATTATTTCCTTTAGTTCCTAGAGGAACATAGGGCTTCAGCCATGCGTCTCCATTGCGTTCGATTCTCTGCTAGAGTTTTCACCTGGCTCCAGGTCTGCCCACATGCTTTCATCTCCTCTTCACATGATCTCCTCCAGGTCACCCTTGGACGACCAACTCGCCGCTTCCCTTTCGGGTTCCACTCGAGAGCTTGTCTAGTGATGTCACTTGCTGGTTTCCTCAGAGTGTGGCCAATCCATCTCCATTTTTTCCTGCCTATTTGTTTCACAATGGGTTCCTGGTTGGTTCGCTCCCAGAGATCTTTGTTGCTGATCCTTTCCGGCCATCTGATCTTGAGTATTGAGCGAAGACATCTGTTAATGAAGGTCTGTAGCTTGTTTGAGGTGCTCTTTGTGACACGCCAAGTCTCTGATCCGTATAGTAGTACTGACTTCACATTGGAGTTGAAAATCCCGATCTTATTTTTGACGCTGAATGATGTTGTCCTCCACACAGACTTCAGAGTAATGAAAGCTTGCCTTGCTTTCCCGATCCTTGCTTTGATATCCTCGTCAGTTCCGCCTGTAGTAGAAACAATGCTTCCCAAGTAGGTGAAGGAGGTAGTTTCTTTCAGGTTTTTTCCATTTATGCTGATTGCTGTCTGTTGTTGTTGTTGGTGTTGGCCAGGGATCTTCATCACCTCTGTTTTTTCTATGTTCACCTGGAGTCCTATCTTTGATGCTTCTTCTGCCAACTTGTTACTTTTCACTTGCATATCTTCCAGTTTGTGGGAAATCAGGCATATATCATCGGCGAAGTCCAGATCCTCCAAGTTCTTTGTGTGAGTCCATTTTATGCCTGTTTCCTCATTGCCCGCTGTTTGTCGCATTATCCAGTCTACTGCAATCAGGAAAATCATTGGCGGTAGTAGGCAACCCTGTCTTCACTTCGAAGGATTCCGTGAGCTTCCCGTTGTGGATTACTTGGCATGCAGCGTTGTCATACAACTGTTGGATGAGATGTATAATTGTCGGCGGCACCCCGTAGTAGCGAAGTAGTTGCCAAATCACCTCTCGGTCGACGCTGTCGAAGGCCTTTTGAAAGTCGATGAAGTTGAGATAGAGAGGTGACTGCCATTCCAAACTTTGTTCAATGATGATCCGTAGTGTGGCGATTTGATCAATACATGACTTGTTACTCCTGAATCCAGCTTGTTCTGGTCGAAGTTTTTCATCCAAGGCTTGTTTGATCCTTTCCAGGATGATGCGGCTTAGTATTTTGCTTGGGATGGAAAGGAGCATAATTCCGCGCCAGTTCTTGCATTGACTTAAGTCTCCTTTCTTTGGTAGTTTGAATAGGTATCCTTTCTTCCAATCCTATCACTCACTCACTCACTCACTAATTAGTAGTATATATGAGAATTTCGATATTGATTGTTTCCACGATTAAGCATGAAGAAGGAGGATTGTTGGATTAACCGGCATAGTACGAACACATGCTGGTTGGTAGTGATTGATGGACTGACTGACTTACTGATTTCAACATGGAACTTTGCACAGATGTGCAGCAGTAGGAGCAGTTCGAGTTGTCACTCTCCGTGCCTCCATGTAGCGCACGAATCAGGAGAAGAGAGTAGAGAGAGATTCACAGCGGAGAGGGAGAGATGATAAATAGAAGTATTGATGAGGGAAGAAGAACAGTAGTAGTTTGGCAGAACAAGAGTTTTATTGGATATGACAAATCCCAAAGAGTGAACGTATGATCTGTGTCATCATCGAGGAAGACTTAAGCCATACTTGCAATAGTCTCCAAACGTTACTGGTTCTTATCCTCCCGAGGACCCCAACCAGCCAGTCTACGCCTCGGTGTGTGAGTGA